AAATGCATTGAAGCAACTGCCATGTGATTGGTTGATTAGATAATTGCATTAATGAGAAATTGAACAGGTGTTCCTAATAATTCTTTAGGCGAGTGCATACATTTTCAAAAATGTGAAATATTGACAACTTCCCTAGGCAAACATTTACAAGAGGCAGGTGTGAGATGAAATCTTATCTTTCCTGGACCACTGTACTTCTATTGATTAAGGTTCCACAAACACATTATACCACCTTTTTCTTTTAACGCATTATCACTCCATTGAGACTTAATTGGGATATTGTTAGTTACAACTTCAAACAATTTTCTAAATATTTTTGCCAAAGTCAAATTACAGTACGTCACAGATTTGTTTCTAACAGCTTCGATGAATCTGGTAAATTTTAATCAACGTTCCACTCAGTCATACAAGTGTAAATGTTATAGGTAACATTAACCGTGTTAATTATATTGTTGTAAATCAAATTATCGGAACAAATTAGGAAAAAAATGCATATTATATACTGCGCCGAATAGTGATACGCGTATTCAAGCTTGAAAAGAAACATGCAGCAAGACTTGACAAGGGAAATCGCATGTTTTCGTCTCCTTGTCTTGGAGGTTGACTTTTTGTCGTTGTACAAACGCACGATGCGCCTTTTAATTAAAGCTGCGCCGCCATCACCTGTTCGAACGCCCAGTTAGAGGCCGGGGCGCATGAGGCGGTGCGTGTGAAATACAGCCAGACTGGAAAATCCACATCGCCCAACTATCGGGATATACCAAGGAACAACAGCGACCGTACAGAGTTACAAGTAGCATTAGGTTCTAAATGTGTGGCTTGCTAGGTGGCTACTTCGACCTGTTACCCCGCTTGGCGGGTTGTTTATCAGCGCCTGCTTTCACGCCCCGCTGTAGAAATGAAGAGGAATGGTGCTTATAGATTGCTGTCAGTTTTCTCCTGCCTCGCCGTTTGTTTATTTTTGCTTCTATTTTGGTTCGTCGTCTTTTATACCATGGTGAAGGCACCGTAATCACTGTAAAATGTCTATTTACGTCTAGCCTAGATGAAAATTTTAAAAGGTGATTAGTTCGCAACTGTCACCATCCATCAGAGAATCCAGTTTCCATTTTAGTGGTACATTACTCGCGTACGTGACATGTTTCTAAAGGCACGCACCGTGCGTCTGACGCAAGTCTTGACGTAATTGCGTCACACACCGGATGAGGAAGTGCGACTTCGGTGAGTGTTTTTCTCACACATGTACATGAAAATTCTCCAAGTTTTGCTTTCTGCTGCTTTCTTGTATCGTCGCTTGTTTTTGTCGAGCGCCAGTACCCGTTATAACGCTTTGGTCGTCTTGCTAATTTCTGCGGCAGTTTTGAGTTGATTAAAATGTTATTTGGGGATAGGTCGCTAGCTCATTGCTTATTACTGCATTAGTTCAGCTGTTGACTGAGCTTCTCTACTTCAGTTCTTTATTCAACTATTGTGTAAATCTAGACCGATGATATCGCCTGTCTGAAGTATTTTTGTTAGATTTGACTGTCATTTTGTGAGGTTTTGAGGGAAAAAATGATTGACGAGTGGCGTGTTTTGGAATCATTCAGTACCTAGAGACAGGCTTAGGGAAAAGGGGAAACGGTCCGTTTGGGGAACGGATGGAGAGTACGTTCTTCATAGCTCCACGTCCCTGGCTTTGTTTTCTGGTTACGTGTTCAAGTCAATTGTGCAATTTCCGAATAAATGCCTGGCCTTTTAGCATGATGTTTAAGGGCCACTTGATTGTAGCTTTTTATATCAAAATTACCCAGTTCCCATAAACATAACGCAGTTTGTCCAAACGTCATGCATTACACTGTCTATCGACTATCGAATTATGTCGCCTGACACGCTCAGATCTCTGCTTGAGAAATTGTACAATTGTAGTTCTCTCTTCAGAACTACTTTCTCAGTCCCAGTGTTAAATTTCGCAGCATCTCAATAACTCTTAAAGCATTTAAGAAAATCAAGTTAGAGGACTTGATCATTGCATCTGATTATTTCTATGTTCTTAAATTAGTTGATGAAATTTATTGAGCAAATCAAAATTTACCAGAATAATAGGTAATGTTTTTGTTTTATGTGGAGTTGTTTTTACCAAAAATACTGATCTTGCCTAATCTCTCATGCAGTGCTATATTTTCTAATAAACATGCAGCCAAGTCAGTTTCTACATGCATGAGATCTGACGTGTTGGATGTATATGCATGTATGACATCATTGAGTAGGCAGGAATTTAATTCCCCCCTTCCACCCCCATCACAGTATTTTTACACTGTCTGGTCATTAACATGGGCTGCCCATACCTGCATGAATATTCATAGACGGAGTCATGAGTTTTAGTCTATGTTCCTCAGCAACGGTGAGGAGAGAGATGCTTCATGCTGTGTAGTCTGTGCTGCTCTGGCAAGAATAATTACGTTTTACATTTTACTCATTTATCTGATGCTTATATCCAAAGTGACTTAGAATAGATGGAAGGATTACAATTTACTTGTGTCCCCTGAGATTAGAAATGGGCGAGGCTAGGGATCTGTGCCAGCAACTGGAAGGTTGTTGGTTCAAATCCCGTGAATGCCTGGAGTGATTCTACTCCATTGGGCCCTTGAGAAAGGTCTTTAACCTGCAATTGCTTCGTCCTGCGTATGATGTTAATCTACATCCAGCCCTAAAAGGAGGTTTTCCGACTTACAGGGCTCTCCAGCCACCGGAAAAAAACTCTCACTGTTCCATTTGGGTTAGCATGGTGCTGAGGTATCACCTTCCACATGGCTGCACACAGGTTCTCTTCCCTGAGGTAGTTTGTTATGTGGTAGGTGTGGCAACGTACTGTAATCAGGTCATGCTCCTTACCTCCCTGAGATTTGAACCCACAACCTCTGCATTGTTAGCTTAATGCTTTACTTGTTTGGTAGCGTTTTTCACTCCCCCCCCCTTAACCGAATTAGTGGATGACAAGTCAAGTGGGCTTTATTGATCATGCCCCCCATATACAGGTATACAGTGGCACGAAATGATGTTTCACCCTGGTGTGTCAAGCAGTGGCAGTGAGGGGGAGGGATTTTCATAGGACTTAAAGTGCAAAACACAGGACAGTATAAAACGGGGGGGGGGGCTGGACACAAGGGTTTATATACATCAGTGGCGACTGGTGATTAAAAAAAATAAGATAAAAAGAATACGTTACAATATTATAGCACTGAACTTTTCCAAAGAAGCGAGAAAATGTGTTTTTAAATGACAAAATTATAGTTATGAGTTATTTCAGAATTTCTTGTGCCAATTTAATCTTAAAAACATACCTAATACTACCTCCTCTACTTTAATGGATCAGCTCCCTTTGACATACATAGTGCAGTGTGAAGGTAAGTAATACAGCAGCAGTACAACGGAGTGGAATAAATGTAGTGATTATAAACTAACACTGAATAGATACATAAAGATAATGGGATATCAGCTTGTCTACAACGGGTTATAGGCCTGATGCTGGAATCTGGGAGTCTGAGTTGGTATTCATCTCTGTTAGTTCACTGCACTTCTGCAGAAAATACTGGAATGTGTCTGTGCAGTGTGTACAGCATGAAGTACTTATGTGTGCCATGGTGACGAGTATCTTCTTTATGAGGCTGGGTGGTCGCTATGGGAATTTCACAACATTTAATAAATGCACTGCAAAGGGTGGCCAGATATAAGCAGGTTTGGTGTTTTACAACCGTTTGCACAAAATCATGGTACATAAACTCTGTGTAAAGAGCCAGAAATGTTTAAAGACACTAATGCATAAACCTGCAAAGATAAATTCTGGATATAAAATGTTCTTCCCTGTCTCTTTGCATGTTTTCTCTATTGTGTGTTTAGTCTACAGTGTTCCATGTGTAATCTCTGTGTAGTATTAGGAAATTTCTGTAATTCTGTGCTTTGTTTAAAAAAAAATCCACTTCCCCAGAATTTTCTGTTGTAGGTTACAGTCTAGTTTTACTCTCCGTTTGATTGTAATATATGGTATAGGACTATACAAGCATTTATGTGCTAAAATATTAAATATTGACTACATACCTGGTGATATCTTTTAGCCAGCCAGTAAGTTCTGTTCAATTAGTCTAAGTTCGGTTTTGGCTTTGAAACTTGCTTTGTAGTGTATTATCATACAGGCAATTATATGATAAACTGAATACTTGATATCGAGTTAAGTGTTGGGGAAATACATAGCCTTGATGGTTAAGTAATAAAACAGTATTAACAATACCTTTTATGAAATATGAACATTTTTGCATGGTGAACTCGTGACACTTTTAAAACTATGCAGCATTACCTATCTTGTCAGGAGGAACAGTCAGGCAGTGTGAAACGAAATGATTTTGCAGAATGAGAGATCGAAATTGGTACTTTGCTGCTCACTGTGATAAATTCAGAGCTGTTTATCTAAGCCATCTCTTTGCCCCAGAGCTGTCATTTCTCAGCTCTGCTTGTTGTAACCCCGAGCAGCCAATCTGATACCTTTTTGAGCAGAGTCCTTAAAAAATCTGGAGGACACGGCACCTCAAGGGGCCTTTGTGATTCTGTTTGCGCGTCTTGTGATTGCAGCATTGAATTGACATTTTGATGCGGCCCAAGGTTACCCAGACACTTTTTTTGGGTGGGATGGTCAGATGGACTGGGGGGGGGCTTCAGATAGATTCGGTATTAATATATCCAGTAGAATCTCTGTGGAAAATGGTGCACCACTTTCAATGATATGTCATTATGCGTGATGTTGGTTTATTACACATAGTATTTGAACTGTTTTTCAACCTATTGTCGTTCCTGTTAAATATTATGCTTTTGCTATTATGAAACAACCAGTACATATACACATCATGTACTGCATATGTTATCTGCAGTAGCACCTGTGAGATTTACAACTTCTCACATGGATAATGGAACATGGACAAACTGCAGGCCCTTTTTTCTTTGCTTTAAGCTGAAACTGTAGGAAATGCACTTATTAGGGCACTGCAGGTAGCTGCCGCCAGTCTTCTGTGTGTTTTAAGCCACCAGATGATGTTTAGATGACGTGTCCTGTGATAGGTTATAGTTTGTGATGAAGATGCCTACGTGGTTTGCTGAATGCTAAGTACTTAATGAATTTCAGGAGTTATGTATTCAGGGGCCTTAAGCTGCACGCACAGCAAAAATAATTGCAGTGGCATCAGTATGTTAAGGTAAGAAATAATTGACCAGAAGCAATAAACAACCGCTGTGTTTGTCCTTATATAGATGTAAACATAATGTTTAATGAAATCTTTACAAACGCACATCTGTTACAACTTGGAATGTAAACACAGTTTAAACTTTGAGGATGTGCAAGTGACGGGTTTGAAGAGAATTCCACCTGGACTTCCAGTCATCTGTTTTCTAACACTTATCCTTGGTGGGGGAGCACTGTATCATCACTGTATCATCAGTACTTCAACATTATTTAAAACATTTAATAGTGAATAAGCTGGTAGGTCTGTTCAAAACTGTATTCAAAATAAAATACACTGAAGCAGTTTTTAACACTGAAGTCATTCCATTAAATGGTGGAAAGAACTGTTTTTTTTTGACGTAATACAGATGTCAGTATAAGCCTATGTTTAATGAAATCTTTACAATCACACATCTGTCGGAACTTGGAACACAGTCTAATCTTGTGTAAAGTGACTGTGTTGAAATTTCATCCACTCATGGAGACCGGAGAGGTTATTTTTCTTGTTTAAGGGGGAATTCCACCTGACTTTCCATTCATCCGTCTCCTAATTCGTCTATTGCAGGCAGTATGGGGCACAATTCTGGGGCAAACCCTGCATGGGATGCCAGTCTTCTCTTGAATTTGATGTTTTTCTTTATTATTTTGGTAATGATGGTGATTCAATTATTGGATAATAATTTAAACATGTATGTAGTGTTTGCAAACGCGTTTTCTTTTTGGTGCATGTGAATTATCTCATCTCCTCCTCCTAGCTGCTTGCCCATTTCAGGGTCGTGGGCAGCCTGGAGCCTATGTCAGGCAGCACAGGGTACAAGGCAAGGGTAGACCTCAGCCTGGAACCCGTGTCAGGCAGCACAGGGTACAAGGCAAGGGTAGACGTCAGCCTGGAGCCTGTGTCAGGCAGCACAGGGTACAAGGCAAGGGTAGACGTCAGCCTGGAGCCTGTGTTAGGCAGCACAGGGTACAAGGCAAGGGTAGACGTCAGCCTGGAGCCTCTACTGTTGTAAAATAGCCACTACAGTAATGTTTATGACAGTCGAATTGCAAGTTAATAGGAGGTGCGGTAATTTTGGTACGGTAATAATGATTTGGGTTTTCATGCCAAATTAACTGACACTGTTCAGACAAACCCATGTCAGTGTGCCAGTAGCTATCACCTTGATGTGTGGTAAATGTGTGCATTTGTTGCTGGTGACCCACTGTTAATGTTCAAAGCCTTTCAGATTTTTGTTTGCGTGGATTACAGGGGACATTTCTTTCAAACGCCTTGGTGCTTCTAGCAATAATTACATTGTTTGTTTGTTTTTTTCTTATGAGTTTTAACGTCAAATCTTTAAGTTCATATTCATATGAGAAGTCTCCATTTGAGTTTGGTTTAATTTGTTTTTCTTCAACATGAAAGTAAACTTGTTCATAAAATTTTGGCATTACTGTTTTCTTTTCTGTACTGGCTAAATTTGTCTTGTATCCTCTAAGTTAAAAAGAATGCCATGCTTATTGAGACAAATTTTTGGTCCCTTTGATGCTGTTAGGATAATTTATTTGTGCGTCTGACCTTCCATATTTTGCAGCTTTTATTTTGAAGAGTGTGATTGATTTTTGGGTTGTTTTGATCTTATTGTAAAATTGTATCCAATGTTTTTTTATGGTTCAAACATGACTGATTTTCCTTGGGCATATTGGTCTTTAACAAATGCTTTCACCCAGCAGCTTAGGATTTTATGTATTTATATACAGTGTGGGTGCTTCAGTCGAGCAGTTTAAAATAGCGAGGTCATCCTGGGATTGAAATACCATCATGAAGCATGCCCTTGCTGACCCAGAGCACATTTGCATTTTAATCACCCAATGAAGTACAAGTAAATAGCAGGAACACAATCAATCAGAACAGCCACTTCAAAGAACTGTGTAAAATTACCGTATATGAAATATTAGCGCTCTTTGCACCTGAATGTAAACATGGAAATTAAACAGAAGAGCAGAGAACACAAGGAAATGTGTATGATCTTATTCTTAATACATAATACATAGACAGATTTGGGAAAACATGAATGATTTTCTATAAGCATAGTTTTAGAAGGCATTTTATTTTCTGCTTCTCACATGATCCTGGGAATTTCTCAACCAAAGAAATGCAGCTGTTCACTTTTGCACTTTCTATATAGACCTGAAGAGAGTAGGGGGTTTTAAAAGCGACACGTCATTGGTATTGTCATGTTTTTTAAACAGTGTGGTGATAAATTACCTGATAAGGTGTGAGGTTAAGGTTGCCCTCGCATCCTTTCCTGCCAAATTAGCTGCCCACATCATTTCAGATTATCTGCTATTGTCTTTACTGCATTTGCCGACAGAAGTGCCATAAGATATTTCTGTAAAAGGCACTCTGAACAAAAAACCAATGCTAGGTTAATCTGTGCAGAAAGAGATTTATTGAATGTGCAGTTTCCTTGAGCAGAATGTATTTTGCTAAGAACATTTTAACTCAAGCGTAAAATATCATGTACAGTGACCAGTTTCAGACTGCACACGCCTTCTGCATTCTACGGTTTCTACATTCTGATGTGGGAGAGAGTCCACAAGAGCTTTCTGGGAAGCAGTTATAGTTTATCTGGGCCGAAGAAGTAAAAACAAGCCTTTTGGTGGGAAGTGTAATTAAGCTTTCACTTGCAGCATTGTAAATAAACTACACATCATGCTGATGTTTTTGTAAGTAAAAATGATGAGATATTAGCATTTTAAAATACTAGTTGCAGCTGTTCATAAAGCAGTACGCACATTTTAAGCCCCATCCTTAAATCACCTCTGATGTACCTGGATTTTTTTTTAGCTCGACCAAAACTGCTCATCATTAGCAGCGGAGACGTGTAACAGAAGGTGGGGAAGTGTGGCTTTCACCTTGCTGGAAGGGGTCTCCTTTATTGAGGCTCTGTCTCCACAGATCTCACCGCGGGGGAGCAGGTCTGAGAGCTGCAATGGCCGCTGAACCCTCCGGCGCAGGATCTGCCGGACAGAAGCTGCAGTTCGCCCCTTTCTGCAGTGCCCTGGAAGCCGGCTTCTGGCACCAGCTCACCCAACGGAAACTCGACGACTACCGTCTGGACGAGAGTCCCAGAGACATCAGGGGCTATTATTACAATGGTAAGGAGATGGCTGCTGCTCTCAGTCCTCTTCAGGCTTGTTGGAACAACGTGTTGAGTTGACTATAGGGTGAATTATAGCAGATGTGGTCAAACTGGCCCTCGGTGACATCTAGGCTCTGGAATTACTTTTACAATTTGATATAGCTAATTCCTTTATCTAAATGGACACTCAAGTGTAGCAGATTGCATCATAAGCATACTGCTGTTAAGCAGCTGTGGTTGGGTTGGGTTTCCGATGAATGGCCCATAACGTCAGAACTGGAGTGAGAGATGTACAGTATGCATAGCAAGAATCCAGAAAGCAATTCAATGGAGAGACAAAGTGCAAGAATGCTTGTTTTGTTTTAGGTGATCCTGTCGGCCTTCCCACTCGCCTGACTCTGGAGTTCAGTGCATTCGATGTGTAAGTGTTTGTTTATGCATATATCTACTTTATAACCATCTGAAACTGTACACATACTGGGTGAGCGGTTAGATGATGGATGGATGGAATTCACTTTTTATGGGAGTCTAGTGTGTTATTTACTCTCAAGCAAAAAAAGAATGTAGCTGTAAGAGGATGACCAGAGGGGAAAGTCTATTATATGGAACGTTATTGTATTTAAAGCTTGATTGCGTTGGAGTACCTAAAGTAACTGAATTTGTTAAACCAATTCTAAGCCAAGAGGTATAGTGTCTTTTTCTTGTTTCAGCTAAAATATATCAGATCCTTTAAATGTAGACCAAAACAAGGGCTTGTCTTGATAGTCTATTCTTTTATATGGGTCTAAATATGCTCAACTTAACATGTGCAGCTGATCTCATACGTAACTCATGCTTTATTGTAGTGAAGGAAATGAGCGTTTGCAGCGAATACTGCTAAAGTTCCCCCACCAATACAGTTTTAATACAGTCACTGTAGATCTATGGTATTACTATTATTATTATTATTTTAATAATTCTTTTTGAAGAGAGCCTGCATTTTATTGCGATCATCATTACACTTGTTAAGTGGTCTCTGCACTTCCCTTCTATTGCCGTCATTAAGCACATGTCCAGCAAAACGCCGCATCCCTGCCACGCTGTCCTCCCCGCGGTCATCATGCCATCTGGGTGTCTGAGAGAGATCCGCTTGCTGCCACCGCAAATGAAAGCCACACAGTAGATGCCCCTGGTGTGGCCGCACTCCGTGTGAGATTGCCTGGAGAGGCTTTACCCGCAGAAGGTGCTTCTAAAAAATGACAGTAGTGACCGCAGTTCAAAGTTAGCAGCCATTGCTGTGTCACACAGCCCCGTCTCTCCTGTTATGTGTAATCGCATCTTCCCCGAAGCGGAGAAACAGTGTAGCTTTTGATCAGGAATCCAGGTTCTTCAGTGCTCCCTCATTCGCCTTGTAAAGGGAGTTAGGATGATTTCCAGTGACAGGGGCCCAAAAATAATTGGATTGGTCTGGGTTGGGGGTCCAGTGTGATTGGCTTTCATGGGGTCCAAAATCTATAACAGCACCCCTGGTTTTGACTAGATTAATGAAGTTCATCAATATTCTGTCCGTCCATCTTCCAATCACTTATCCTGGTTAGATTCTCAGGGATTTTATGTTACCAAAAAATATTTGTTTAACACTATTAAATCAAAGTCACCGATGCAGCATAGCTTCAAGGAGCCGTATAATAAAATGAGGCTTTTGGTGTTTCTCTTAAGCCTGTGTTTTTGTTTTCTGTACTGTTGACTGAAATTGTTCTGTAAAGCTACTACATATTGCTTTTTGGGGGGTTAATAAATCTTATGCTAAAATACTCTTTGCTAATGCATAACTATTCTGTACGAAGTTCAATGCTGCTAGAAGGTGTAGTGTGGATATTCTCCATCTTGTATCCCGTCTGCAGGCTTGTCTTTTATTGATCTCTGTACCCAGATTATCAGCTTTCTGCCACAGGCGAACTTGCAGCCTATGCCTTATACCCCCTTCTCTGTCCTGAATCCCTTTCGCTGGTTGTTTTAGAAATGGCCAGACTCCAGCCAGATGCTGTCCAGCTTTTGGGACTCTGTACAACACCAACACATTAGAAGCTTTTAAGTCATGTGATAAGAAAGCCCTCCTGGAAAGCTCTGCGAAAGAGGTATGCACATTGAGCATCTGGGAGAGCAAGCTGCCATATCATTCATTTAAATGCTGGTCTTGCATAATCGCCGCTCATTTTTCTTGGTAACGTGACATGCAATTTCCATTGTTTTATTAGCCGTCTTTATTCGCTGATTAAGAGCCTGCTTTTCTTTCACAGATCTGGGAAGCGATACAGTCCGGCAGCTGTGTAGAGGATCCATCTGTCCTGTGCAAATTCATCCTGCTGACTTTTGCAGTAAGTGTGTCTGGTGTCAGATTTCACCTAAAGGTGCAGGGTGAACCCTGCCTCACTATTCTCACGGCTGTCTGTCTCCACGCAGGATCTGAAGAAGTATCGCTACTTTTACTGGTTCTGCTTCCCGGCCCTCTGCTTCCCCGAGGCCGTCCCCTTTCACCAGCCTCCTGTCGCCCTGGAGAAAAGGTTTTCCTCCAAGCAGGTTCGTTAAGTCTGCTGCAGACTGTTTGACCATAATTGCAACGGATGCACTGTCATTGTTGGGCGGATGGCTCGAGTTGTATCAGAATCCGTTTGTCATTCGTCCCATAAAGCTGTGATCACATACAGGGAGCAAACAAAAAGTATATGAAGGCAGTCAAGACTATATAGGATGTGACTGCTTAGTGAGACTGGCTAATGCTAACCCTCTGGTCCTTTTCCTATCTCAGAGTATCTGGCGCCCAGTGTTATAAGCCAAGATGAAACCTCATGTCTTATTTATCCAAGCGAGCCAAGCAGTGTCCTCATTAACTCTCCTTAGGAAGATTTCATCAGGCTCACAATAGGCCTAAATCTGTTTTGTGCTTCAAAACACAGCTGAGATACCAGGTTACTTGTTTCTTTAGAACTTTGCCAATGAATTCACCATATACTCTGTTTAGTACAGTTTTGCATTATCCAAGCCAATGCCGATTAGTCTTCAGTCTCAGTCTCTAAAGATTTCAGGAGTTAGAACTGTAGCATGTAATATATCTGATTTTAAGCTTTGTCTAAGCTCTGTTAGGCTCCACTGACTTCTTAGCTTTTAAACCAGATTCTGGGACGCTTTAGAACGTTAAATGTTGTAGGCCTATGTAAGATTTGTTTCAGTTAGCTTCTAGGATAATGGATCAGAACCTGGGCCTTGCTGCCTTGCTTGGCTGGTTTGGACTCTGCTCGGTGGCAACATGGTATTTGCGATTGGGAGGCATGACATTTTAGGCATAAAATGAGAAAATTACTGATGGGTGGGTGATGTCCTTCAAACCTTAATGTGTTTGCGTTACTTTAGAGTGTGACGCAGTGCTGAAGGTAAGATGTGGGCTGTGAGTATCAACTGTTTTCAGAACTGGGCACTGTACTACAAGCCAAAAGCACGGATCTCCGGCTGTGTCGTGTGTCGACAGGGGTGCCGGTCAGACCAGGCATCGGCAGAGTGGGATGTTCTTCCGAGCACCGACTCCTTTCTGAATGAACAGTGTGGATTCAGCACCACCCAGATGAATGGCTCACCGGGGGCCCTCTGTGCGCTCATTCCACAAGTGCTGCATCTTGGGGTGTGCAGTTTTATTTTTTCCCCCCGAAGATAAAACAATTTCATGAGATCCTGGTATCTCAAGACGTCTGATACTTTTTTAGTTCACGCTGTCAGACGTCTGTCCTAAATCTGCCAGGTTTAGGGCAGTAGTGGTTGAGCTGATAGCTGTGACCTGAAATATCCATTGTACATATTAAACCAAAAATGAAAACCTTGTTGCAGGACTCTCTTCTGCTTCAAGAGTTCCCTAAATAGGGTGAACTCCAAAGACTGAGGCCACCATGAAGGGTCGAAAATTCAAGGTGCCCTTTTAAGACTATGTGGCTGCATTGGAGTTTGGCTCCAGTCCAAACTTTGACTTAAACTATAGACTTTTCAGGTCTTATGAGGCAGAGAGATCAAAAGGTGCCAAAGAACCAACGGTCTTAATTTTAAGCTTCATTAAGATGCATCCCGGAGAAATAGGCAAATATTTTGTAAACAACAGTAATTCCTCCCGCATGCCTGTTGTGAAAAGGTAGATTGTATTAAACCCGGCTGATTCCTTGAAGGCCTGCAGTTGGCATCCAGCAGTAACGATGTTACTGAATGAGGCCAGACACAGCGGCGCTGACTAAACACTGTCAGCACGTTGACGTAGGACGGAATGGAAACGGATTGAATGGGATGGCGATGGTGACCCTTTCCTGTGTCCGAGTCATTGGATCGCCAGATGATAATCAGTGCATGTTTTATGCATTACCGGGTAGGCCTTAAATCAGTCTAAACTGCAGGACTGTTTCATAATTCCACTGAAACTATGCCAAATGGTACCAGACCTTTTCTGGTTGCACATATGGGACCTGAAACTTGCCATTTTCTTGGCGCTTAACTTTGCTTACTGTCTTTGTATAACTTGGGTCTATTGTGTCCCCATGTGACAGAACCTGCAGGAATAAAAATGTTTTAACTTTTCTCCCACAAATCACCCCATTTCCATACCTGTTGCATATCCAACATCTGTTTCTCGTCTTTGCCTGCACAATCCCCCCCTCCCCCATTACAGATTGAAGCTTTGCAAGGTGCCTATGATGGGCTCTGCCAAGAGAATGGAGGTACTGCGGTCCCTTATTTTCTGGTCAGATACTCGGAGGAAGCAGTGCTAGTGTCTCCACTCAAAAACTGGAGCAGTTTCTTTAAAGACCAGAAGAAGGTAATGGTTAGATACAGTGGAGAAGTCCTGCCTAATGTTTAAATATGACCGTTCTAGCAATAGAAACACTAAAGTAGCCAGTCTTGCTTAATATGGGTATATTAAAGTCAGTTGAATATTTTCAGCTCCTTTCTCTGTTTATGTTCTAATGTTTTTTTTTTGATAACTTGGAGAGAGGTTGGAATGGAGGTTTCATGAAGGCGATAAACTCAACATTTTGTTCAGTCAAAATTTTGAGATAAATGTGTGTTGTTGGCTTCTAGGTGACCGTGGGAGTTTATGATCCTTGTACTCTCTCCCAACATCCTGGATGGCCCCTGAGGAATCTGCTCGCTCTGGTGGCCTGCAAATGGTAAATGAGATCTCGGACGACTTCGCACGCGCAGCCTCATGCGCCGTCTGTGAATACGTCCCGGGTGCATTCCGGCTACTTCCACTCAAAGCCAAGATGTCTTCGTGCAAGTTTCTCCTGACGCCTTGGCTTCTGTTGCTGGCTGATTCCGGCACCAGGGCTCTTGCTCACGATAATGATCATTTGATAATACATGGCTTCCGTAGACGGGCTGAGGAATTCCGCCTGGATGAAGTTGCTGATTTCCGTGTAGGTTCTGAAAGTGTGAACCTGACCCACTGTCCCCCGTTCCCCAGGGGAGAGCTTGTGGATGCCGTCGAAGTTCTGTGCTTCAGGGACAGGACCCTGCAGGGCTCACGCTCCATTCAGCACAGCATTATCTTTCAGGTCAAGCTCCCTCAGCTGTCTGTCTCTGCAGGTGAGCAAAGAACCTCCTCATTGCTTCTCATTAATGGAGCTTAAACAATATGGGTTCTTTGAGCAGGTTTGTCTGATGGGTCTCCTGATAAAATAGCAAGCCATTTTCATTCTGTCTTTGTTTTACACTTTGTGATTTAATCAAGTCTATTCATCCAGCACATGGACTCGTTCTTCCCTCTTCTATGTGAAGATTCCAAATAAGATGACTTTTTTCTGTTATAAAGGTATTTTGAGAGCAAAGATTAGCATTTAGGGCTACATTGAATTTCACTCTCCATTGCTATGCCTCATTTTGGCATTGTGGCTAGCATTGTGGCTAGCATTGTGGTCTCTCACCTCCAGGGCTGGGAGTTCAGTTCCTACCACTGGTTCTGTGTTTGTGTGAACTGTATTTCGTCACTGTCCAATGAAAAACATGTATCTCCAAAAATCCATTATATCGGAAGTAGGAAAAAAAAAAGCATTTTCTCAGAAATTACTTTACAAGATAAACAACGCAATGAGACACCCTTAGCACCACAAATAGAAATCTACCTTTACATAGCTGTTAGTGAATGGTTTAACGTTTTAAATGGACTTGCATGACATACTAATCTCGCTTTACATTCACAATTAACAGTGATGTTAGTTATCTAGCTACCGACATTCTTGTTAAAATTAGCAATATAAAATAACCCGTACAAACAACCATCAGGGATACTAATGTTAGTTAATACAAACATAAATGCTAATTAAATAGACGCCTTCATAAAAATCATCTTTTCCTCAGTCCGTTACATGTGTAACACTATCAGTAGGCAGAGGAGAATGAGCAATTTCTGTCATTAGTAAACAGTCACTTTTTCAGATGTTATTAGTGGTATAACGATTCTCCAAATCCGTTGTTCGGCTCAGACCTCAACTTTTGAGCCCGAATTTGGTTTTGTTTGTTCGTTTTTTGGGGGGGGCTGGGGCAGTGGTCAATAAGACAAAAAACAGGGTTAAAATTTCTGCGTTTTATTAATCGCCAACAATTTGGAACACTAAACAGAAGAACACTAAAAAACGTGTTAGATTAACTTCACATAAAATAACTATGTAAAAAATAGCTGAAATACTGGACTCTACAGTGCTGACTTGAATGTGCAAGGCAGGTCTGCATCTCAGTGTTGTTATCCATCTTGAGCTAATGAAACTAGGCTAGCTTTTACTGTAGGCGTGGTCACTCAGTCATGATTGGCCCAAAATAGTCATTGGTCAATAAGTGTAATGTGTAATATTTACAAAATACACAGCCTGCCCAAACTTTAGAATAATAATTCTGTGATTTACATGTGTTATGGTGTTAATTGTGAAATGGAAGATGAATTGTGTAACATTAGTAATGTAATTAAGAGCTCAACTAACTGCACCTGCGGCAGCAGGGTTGGGGGGGGGGGGGGGGTAGTGGGTATTGCGGTTCTGTCTTCCAGAACCACGACACAAGATTTCAGTCTCTGTTTCAGAGCCGTCACGCTGCATGATATGTTCTCCCTGTTTGCTATGGTGCCACTGGGGATTCTGGGCCCCATGAAAGCATGTTATATTGGGCCCCCAACTCGGACCAATCCAATTATGTTTGAAATATTTTAGGGAGGGACCCTTGAAATCATCTTAAATTCCCCCCCCCCGCCCATTTTCGCAGGGTTCCCAGAGGACAGTGTTGCCAAACCCCAGTTAGGGGGCTGTTGACCCCAGTTTCATGCATCAGGATTCCTGAAAATGCTCCTGGATCTCTCTGACCCCAAGCTGGATAAAAAGTTATAGATGCTGGATGCAGGGATGGATGTAGTGTAACAGATGGATGGATTATGGATGAACAGATGAACAGATGAATACCTGCTTGCTACAACAATGCTTAAATCTGTAAATATGGCAGAGCGTAAAAAATATTTGGCTTTTTTGTAATTTGCACAAATGTCTTCTAAAGGAGTTCCCAAGACCGTCGGCTGGGAGAAGAACCAGAGAGGAGCGATGGGACCCAGGATGGTGAACCTCAGCGAATGCATGGACCCTAAAAGGCAATTCTCATGTCTGCCTTTTCCACACTGTTTAAAGAGATTCGAATGTTGGACAAACAGTCCAGGAGAAAAATAATGGCCCGTCACCGGAAAATTAATGAACTAGTTTGATCTCTGTTGCTGTGTAGCTGTAGTCATGGATTAATTTCTTCTTTATTATGCTGTTGGATTAGCGCTTCTGTGTATGTGTATTGTGCTGGGTAATAGACTTATTTTCAGATTGTTAGGAGATGGTTCTGGAAAAATAAAAACACAGTGGTCCATTCCTCTTGTTCACTTGCCAGGCTGGCGGAGTCGTCCGTGGACCTTAACCTGAAACTAATGCGCTGGAGACTTGTGCCCTCCTTGGATCTGGACAAGGTGGTTTCCACCAAGTGTCTGCTGCTGGGAGCTGGCACCCTGGGCTGCAATGTGGCGAGGACCTTGATGGTGAGCGGGATGGGGGGGGGATACTGGGTGTGGAGCGGTTTCGGGAGGGTGGGGGAGATGCTCAGTGGGGATATACTCCAGTCGCTTCAGTAAATGTTCACGCCATGAGAAAAGGCCAATTTTTCATGCTGTGTAAACATCTAATTATATATGTGCTGATTCCACCCCCCTCCCACCCCCCCCTGCATAGTTCTGCTTCAGAGCAAATGAATTAATAAATAATGCAAATCCTTGCTTTTTGTCAGGCAACGGGGCTCTGCGCCAAAGCTCGTCTTTGCTCTGGATGCACGGAATAAGATTATCTATCTGTTTACTGATCCATAGGGGTGGGGGGTGCGTCACATCACCTTTGTGGACAATGCCACCATCTCCTACTCGAACCCAGTGCGCCAGCCCCTGTACGAGTTCGAGGACTGCCTGGGGGGCGGGAAGGCCAAGGCCCAGGCTGCCGTTGAGAGGCTGAAGAAGATCTTCCCCGGAGTGGTAAGTGTGGCATTTCAGATATTCGTCTCCATGACGATTCCACAATGGAGTTTGCTCATCCTCTGTGCCTTGGTGTTCGAAAATGATGTCATTGCGGCCCCTAGCTCTCAAAATGTCACTGGTGGCATTTTTGTGATCCTCTTTCAGACCCTTGCCTTCTCAGTCTTGGACGTTGATGAATGAGGCTTTTCTCCTAAAGCACTTCACTTTCATAAAAAAAAAAATATCCTCAGCACCCTCAGGCAGATATTTGTCAGGCCGGGAGATATATTGCCAAGGAAACGCTGTCGCCGAGAACAACCCCCCATCACCGGATCACCCCCCACCCCCCATTTGCGTATTTCCTCCTTTGTGTGGGCCCTATGGCAGCTTGTTCATGCATAGGGGACTGGAGCTGTTAATGTTCCGGGCAGAATCTGTTCCTGGAAAGAGGAGAAAAAGAATATATGACAATGTGGCCCTTTAATGACGTGGCTCAGGAAAGCCGGACCGCACACACGTGTATTGGTGAGTGGGTGTTTGTGGGGGGGGGGGGGGGGCACAGACGTGTGCGCACGTCGCGGGGACGCGGTGGGCTCCTCGCCCGCTATGACTCAGCGCTAACGCCGGACGTCATCGGTGCTCAGTGTGTGGGCGTGCTCTCCGCTTGCCGTATCTGTGTGAGTGGAGCGAAAGTGCGGTGTTCAGGAGGTTCTTAAGACCCCCCCCCCCCCCCCCCCCCCCCCCCCCCCCCCCCCCCGGACGGCACCCCCCCCCGCCCCCCCCCCCCCCCCCCCCCCCCCGCCACTCTCTCCAGTGACAAGGGTGGCCCAGCAGCCTCTGCCGCTGCCCCCCCAACTCCTGAAAAGTGTACAGGTGCTCCTCACATTTTGGTGGATTATCACAAATTCAGCTTCAGGTGAACTCCTTCATTTAGTGGTGTCCTGCACGATGACACAGTAATTATGTTCTTAGATTAAAATGGATGGGTGATTGAACATTATTTTGGTGACAATCTCATAAGTATATGAAAATAACTGGTGCATTATACGCTTGATGCAATAAAATGAGAAAATAATTTTTGATGATGAAGCAACGCTTTTTGAATTTTTCTTCATAGTCATAATTAATTGATTATTTTAATAGGTACGGACAGAATGTAGGTTGTGGTGCTCAGGACTGAGCTCTTATTTTTGTTATTCTATAAACACAGTGTGTTAAAGCAGGAAAAATGTCGCCGATTGTTCTTTAAAAGTGTGATTAAGGTATAAGTTTTTAATAGAGGGAAAAAAACTTATTGGTTATATCCCCAGCCTTTGGTCTAAGTTCAGGTTGCTAGGTGCTGCGTGTGTGTGCGCGTGTGTGTGTGTGTGTGTGTGTGTGTGTGTGTGTGTGTGTGCGCGCGCGCGTGTGTGTGTGTGAAATACATGAATGTGCTGCCAAGGCTTGTTTATTAAAAGATTTGAACTGCATGAACCGTGTGGTCATGTAGAAGTTGTTAAAAATCTAACGTGCCCATGCGTCACATGCCTACCCCCCCGCCCCCACCATTTGCCCTAATCTTATTGGTCAGACCGCAGCTCTCTGGAATACCTGCCCCCCTTTCAGTCGTCAGCATCCGCTTCTCCATCGGTAGTGATCAAATTAGCCTCCTGGCATGTCGATTCTGTGAGCATCATTAATTCATCGTCTTCCTTTATCGATTTTCCCTGCCTGTCTCTCTAATGAGCCCCCCCCCCCCCCAGCTGCCCGTCTACCTGTCCTGCCCGCACTGTGTCACGCCAATTAGCTGGACGTGCTGGCAGAGAGGGGGCCCGCCAGTAATTACTTCCATCCTTTTGTAGCTGTTGTGAGCCTCCGAAGAGCAGTGGCACGGCCCCCCACCTCACGCAGAGCCGTGTCGGGCTATTCGGAAAGCTCCCGCACTCCCGTCCCCTTCCTCCGGCAGAGGGACGCGGCTCTTATAGAGACACCCAGGCTCTACACAGACAGCGTTGGAAAGCATTGTTGTGGCACCACTGTCAACAAACACCGAGGCACTTCACCTGTAGGGGGCGACCTGTAGCTGGTCACTGTCCTTTGGCATTTGACTTTCATTTTTGTATTTTATTTAGGGGAGCAATTTTGGGTTAGGGGTCATGCTCATGAACCCAATTGTGAAATCACTCTGGGATTTGAACCTCTGGCCTTCCAGTAACAGACACACTACTCCCTGGGAGTCCTCCCCCCATTTGTCAGGAACAATAACATACTTCTGCGTAAAAATCCCTGAAAATGGAAGGGACTTGGTTATGGGACTGACTGAAAATGTGACAGATTTGCCTCCCAGTCCCAACATCAGCAATATCTGATGGGAGAGTTGCAGTGTGTGGCCCTCACACGCGTCCCCCCTCCCCACAGAACGCCGAGGGCCACACGCTGAGCATCCCCATGCCCGGCCACCCGGTGAACTCCTCGGAGGCCACGGTGGCCCAAGCCCGGCAGGATGTGGCGCAGCTGGAGGCCCTGATCTCCGGTCACGACGTGGTCTTCTTGCTAATGGACACCCGCGAGAGCCGCTGGCTTCCCACTGTCATCGCCGCCAGCCAGAGGAAGGTACCCCCCAGCCTACCCATCTACTCTGTATCGGTCCGTTTAAAAGCCAAGGGGTGAAGCCTTTTCAGAAATGTCTAGGACTGATTTACTCTGGGTTATAGCACTTCAGGACTATGGGTAATTAAGTTTTGCCTTAGAAAATCTCGAAAGGCACAATTGTACTGGCAAAATTGCCGAGCGTTAGCACTCAGGCTACGGGCAATTCTTACTGCCATTAAATATGAACGTTTTCTGGAAACGACTGGTGTAATGGTCCTGATTGCTAACCCCCCCATAATGGCTTAATCGTCTTTGTCAAGCAACATTTCAAATTCTACCCTTATTTCATTTAGTTTAAGTCGATACTTTTGTACTAGGAAACAACAACATCCCAGAGCAGCCCAGACTATACGTCATGCACATCATGTGTCCTCCGGCGTGATCACGTGACCCAGAGTTCGCAAACCGCCACGCCACCTGCCGCCACATTAATATTAGAGGCTGGTAGCGTTCGGGCTCGAGTCGCTCCCCGGCGTGACACTCTCCCCAGAATGCTTCCTACTGCGGCTCTCTCTCTCGGCAGATGCGGATAAATTGACCTTTACGACAATCCGACACGGTCGCAGCTCCCTGCTATATTGGAAAATCCAATTCCTGTGACACCTGGCAGGTCTCATGGTCGCTACTGGTTTTCGTCGCATCTGGGTTTTAATTCTGGTTCCTCGCAAAGATTTTAAATATGAATAATTATGTGCCACCAAAAATGGCACCGGTGGACTCGTGTAGTATATGCTACAGCCTGAAGCCCATCATTGACTAAAGTCGGTTACATGTAACTGTGATCCAGGGTTAGATCTGAGATGAATGATGCATAGTATTTGAAAGCAGATGCAGAATGTTTTAGTCATCTTTAATTGTTAATACTGCCATCTTCAGGTACTTGTTTAGCATAAATGACATGACAGGCATCTCTTTCCATGCAGTTTTTTTTTTGGGGTGTGTGTGCGATTTCCATATTGTCAATATGCCTGTCATGTTGTGATGTCATGAAAGGCCCTTACAGTCTGTCAGGGACAATTAATGTAGGCAGTGAGTTTTGCTATGGCTTCCATAGACATTTCTCTTTCCATTTCGTATCTTTTTGAGGAGGGGGGAGTGACATATGCTGATGGGCAGTGTGGTGAATTGAGATGGAGAATGACTTAATCATGCGTTAGAAGACAGAGATTGAACATAGAAATGACATGGGGTCATGTTGGGAATAGGAATCGACACCGTTTACCTTCAGGGCCGTGTGGATGGACACTTAGGTTGGGTTTCCATTAGCGCTGCACCAGGTCCATATCCGGATGTCTTTCCTGGGGGGCTGAAGGTGGTTCACCTGCTCCCACTCTGACCTCTGTTCACCTCTGACCCCTGACCCCCGTCCCTTCCCGATCTGTGTAGCTCATCGTCAACGCTGCTCTCGGCTTCGACACCTTTGTGGTCATGAGGCACGGCCTGAAGCTGCAGAAGAACGCAGGGACCGCGTCAGCCCCCACCTCCACCGGGTCTACTCCCGCCTCAGAGTGCTTCTCCTCCTCCTCCTCTTCCTCAGCTGGCTCCATGGCCGTCCACGGAGCCTCTCTCTTCTCCAACATCCCGGGCCACAAGCTGGGCTGCTACTTCTGCAATGATGTTGTCGCCCCGGGTGACGTGAGTGCATTACTTTTTTATTGCTTTTTTGTGGTGCTATATTGTAACATGAGTGAAACCTGACAGCCAGCTGAACGAGAGGTTGTGGGTTCCTTGTAAGATAATTAAGAAATGTTATGAAATTTCCAGCCAGTATGTGTGCTTGGAAGGACATGGGTCAGTTATTTAAGCCCTAGAAGCTAATTGCTTCATTAATAAACAAATTTGTCACCTGCTTATTCGGAATACCAAGTTAACGTCTGTAAGTTTGACATGAGATGAGGTGCCACCCTGGCTTTTCTCCTTTCGCCCTCCCAGTCCACGAGGGACCGGACGCTGGACCAGCAGTGCACCGTAAGCCGGCCCGGCCTGGCCATGATAGCTGGGGCTCTCGCCGTGGAGCTAATGGTCTCCATCTTGCAGCACCCCGAAGGGTAAGCGTGGGCAGTCAGCACCTGTTTTAATCCCCATATTTCGGGGGGCGTTAGTGCTGCTCCTGGGGGTGTTATGCGGCTTGGTGGGTTAGGATGTCATGCCTGTATTCGGATCGGTGTTTCAAATCTCAGGGTCAGCAGAGTGATTTGAGCAAGACCCTTAACCCCCAATTGCAATCGCCTGACCCTGCTTCCAGTGCTACATTGCTTTGGATAAAAGCGTCCAATAATATTCTAATTGTAAATCTGTTAAATTGTAATTGCTGTGCCTCAGCACCCTAATCCCTACCTTCCAGCCTCTACAGGAGGCCCCGGGTGCCGCCACAGGACCCCTTCGGCGTGCCGAATCTCTCTGACGTGAGGCTAATTGAACACAGCCGCATGCTATCTGGCAGCGCTGACTGTTTTATTTCAATTAGACTTCCCTGCTCTGGGATGGCTAAATGTCCACTTTGTTCAACAGCATAGCAATGTGAGCGAGCAACTTCATAGCTGGATCTCGAATTTGAGTCTAAAACCGTCCAGCTTTCATTGGATGGTTTTCGGGGGGGGGGGGGGGGGGGGGGGGACTGAGAATCTAATGTTTGTATTCAAGATAAGATGCTTTTTTAGATTTCTTTGGAATTTCAATTTATTTCAACATAAGAAGCTCTGTTCCAAGAAAAAAAAAACGAATCTCCGTACATAAATTTTGCAGGCCCAGATATTGCACTTGCACTTTGACACCAAATGTTAATGCACAAGGGGACCGTAGTTGCCCTTAACTGGTGACCTGCTCTCTCGGCTAATAGAAATGATTGATTGTGGAGTGAATGAGTTCTTGGACCTATTGAGGCTGTTCCGTGGAACTCAAAAGCATATGCTCAAAGACATCACCTCAGAACCTGAAATGGACCATGACATGGTCACAACTGAGGAAGTGTTTGCTTTGTGTGCGGGGGTGGATTTTATAGGATATACATAAAGTCTTTTTTTTGTGTCTGTACATTGGATAATAAGCTTCTGGACTAACTTTTTGCATTCTTTTATGGAATGTGTTCAGTTTTCAGCCCAAAATAGTCCTGCCTCTGTAAAAGGATCTGGGTCCTGTCTTCACTGTTTGCATAGCACACGGGTTTTTCCCACTCCAAAGACATGCAGTTAGTGAGTAAACTGCCCAGAGTATGTGCATGTGTGTGCCCCGCTATAGTCTGGCATGTTGTCTAGGGTTCACCCCTAAGCTCCCCCCCGCCCCCCCCCCTGATTCTACTGGGTACTCTCTTCACTGAAGTACATTTTTCTGACCAGGCTTCGTTTGGCATTCAGAACTGATGTTGTATGGGTCCGTATCAAGCAACATGCATTCAGAATGTGGATTGTTTTACAAATAGTTGTTCCATATTTGAAAACATGGAATATCAGGTGATTGATATCCAACCCAGTGCCATCAGGGACAGTCTGTAGGCCACCCTGCGACACGGACATACGTGGATGGATGGATGGATTAATTGAACATGTTCAAACATGTAGTTTTTGAGTGTTTCCAGATTCGCTAACCTTAAGTTTGGCTCTGTTCCTAATGGGACATGACATGGCTGTAGGGGGCACCCTAAACTTCCTGTTTGGTAACCGAGGCGACAGAGGTGACCGTCGCAGGTGAATGGCATGGGTCCAGCTGTTTTTGTACCTGTGCAGTGATACTTGAGGTCAGGAGCGTCACCGGAGAATCTTCAGCATGTAGCCATGAGTAACTGGAGGTAGCGGGCACATGCAGGGCTGCTGGCATCGGTGCGGCTAACGTGGTAGCAGCCATTAGCACACACTTCCTCACCTGGAAGTACGTCCCGCAGTAGCTCAGCTGACTCCTGCAACACAGCTGGGTGGTAATTTCTCTAATGGAGTGTCTCTCGGAAGGCGGGTGGCCCTTATCTAGAGGCGTCTGCCGGCCGCATGTCCTGAGGCACCAGCAGGAAGCTGACGGCACAGATAGGCTCTATTGTGCGGTCCTGACGGCACCGCGGTACGGCTCTCTGTGTGGTATCCGGCCTCAAGGCAGACAGAAACAAAGTCTGAGCCGACGGCAGGGGGGCCCTGGCGATAAGGAGACGGCAGGACATTGTCCAGCGGGGTGGCGTTTGCACTTTAAGGACAGTTCAGATAAAAGCAGGACAGCCATACTCCCTCTGTGGCTTTTCACATTCTAAATTCCCTCCTCTTTAAAGGAAGGACAGCGCTTCTGAGACTCCAGATCCAAAATATGTTAAATACCTCTGGCAGCCTTTTAAGGATTATCCTGGAACAGCCAAAATGAACACGGTGACATTAATACCTGTATAGTACATGGGGGGCAGGAGGCACAGAAAGGCAGCTAGAGACAGGAGGTGGAGAGAACCTAATTTTGGACACTATCTCTTAAGAGGCAGAGCCCACCCATCCCCCAGCCCTCATATGGAGATATTCTGATGGCTCCTGTTTCTCTTCATGTGGGGGGAGGGGGTGGGCTTGGGGGTGCTCACAGCACACCTTATCGGAAGTGACCGCGGTTGCCTTCTCTCTCACCGGCAGGGGCTACGCCATCGCCAGCAGCAGCGACGACCGGATGAACGAGCCCCCCACCTCCCTGGGCCTCGTTCCTCATCAGGTCAGTCATCTCGAAGCCCTGCCCCCCCCACCGCCTCCCCCACCACACCAATCAATGCAAATTCCACCCGGCCGGCTGCTGATTATTTCATTACTATACTCCCAGTTTGTCTTCCGCTCCTGCCCCACACCCCGCCGTCATAACCTTCAGGTTGCTATAGAAATATGCATGATTTTGAAAGGCGAGTGTTACAGCTGTCTACTCGGGTTGCATGATGTCGCCGGCATGACTCAAGCCTACCCCGCAGTCGCTTCCTGTTTTATGCATCCATCCACTCTGATCGCTTATATAATCTGTTTAATTCCTCCCCACCCCCTTCGTAAAGGCATCACCGCAAAAACAAACTTGTTTTCCTCAGATCTAAACAAATATTACTACAGTACTGCCTTTTAATAGATCTCCTTGAACCGTGATCGAAATGGGTCTCGCTGACTGAATGAAAAAATCATAAAAGCTCTACCTTTGTGTAATTTTAATAACCTTCTCTGACAGTCTCGCAAGTCCAGTGATAAGAAGGAAGCCAGTCGGATGGCAGGCGCTGATCGCAGAAACGCCCCCGGTTTGATGGGCTGCGTATTACACCTCGGACCCCCCCGCCCCCCCCCCCCCCACTTGTGCAGGCAGACACGGTGATGATGTCCTTTTTCCTGCCCTGCCTGTGCTCTGTTTGGGTCATGACAGCTGTCTGGCTTTCATGGGGGACGATGTGCGACTCCGCTCGATAATCTCCACCCCCCACCCTGGCTGTGCGGTTTCTAGGGTAGCCCCGCCCCGATCGCTTTGTTTGTTTTGGTATTATCACCCAGGAGCAAAGTCCCATTTTCACGGTCTGTCAGTCCGGCAGCCGATCAATAATAATCCGTCGGCCCCTGTCCTCCTTCCAGAGGGAAATATCTCACTGATATCTCCTCAAAATACTGCATTTTCCTTAATAAACCCTGCATAAAGGGGAGTCCTCTATGGAACAAAGGTGAAGTTCTGATTGACGATTAAGTGCCATGCTGGAAACAGGACTGTCACTAGCATAGATTCTTACAAGCATGTGATTCGGTCTATTAAACATTTGTGCTAGAAGCTGTTCAGGGGCATCATGGTGGATGCATCCTTAAAGCAAGTCTTTACGATAGGCAGGGGCACCGTCCATACCAGGCTACAGCTGGCCCCTCATAACAGCTGAATGCATCCGTGCCCCCGATGTTTGACTGGCGGCACGCAGCGGTGCGCCTCCGATCTACAGCCGGTCAGGGTTTTTGCACCTAAAGCGCCGCTCCAGGTGCTGTGAGTGAGGTGGCGCCCCCTGCAGGTAGGCTAACGTTCTAAAGCACAGTCCTGCTGCTCTGAATGCACTAACATGGCCTGGAGTTTAAAGATAAGGACAGCAAAATGATGTGGTAAATCTCTCCCATATGCTCTAAGGCACCAGAGGCTCTAACTAATATATTTTTGACAATTTAGGCATTGGCAATTTGCTAGGCGTGCACTTTATCCTCCCCCAGCTCTGTTTAATATCTGCTACCTGCGTAGCTTGTACATCAGTTTGGACAATTGCTTTCTGCCAAATAAAGTAAACGTAAATGTGTCTTAAAATAATATTAATTAAAAAATAGCGCGGACCCTCAATCTGTGAAGTAACAGCTTTGAGTTAGATGCATACAGGAGCAAATCCATTTACTGGGAGGAGCAGATGTACCTCACTTTCGTAAGAGTACATTATATGTCTCTTGCACCTCCATTTACACGCACGGTCACATTAGGAAAAGGATTATGACAAAATGGCAGTTTATTCCTCTGAGTCAGAAGGATTTTTTCTCCATCCAAAAATAGTGGACCAGTACTGCCCTCATGTGGCTGCATGGTTAACTGACTGTATTTTGTGTAAATGTATATTGCTCTTCCAGTTTCCTCTGTTAAACATGACAGCCATGGTGAATGAACTCAATCAACGAGCCATTGCTGCGGACTCTGTGAGCAATGATTTTCCTGCGTATTTGTATATGACGTAATATACGCGAATCTCATTTTTTGTGTTTGATGCAAAAAAATCAACCCAGAATCAACACAAAAACAATAGCATCAAGGACGGTCCACTTGGTTTATATGGCAAACCCGGATCTAATATGTCTGGAGGAAACGGATGTTCATATTGATTATCCTACCAGTATCTGGGCATCCGTTACGGCGTTTGAATTAGCCTCATCATACCGTATGCGTACGCCGTTTGCGTTATGTCATCACGCCGCCTGTGTATGCCGTTTGCGTTTGTAGAGCTATGCGTTTGCTGACTCTGCCCAGGAGAAGAACCTGGCTCGATGTTAGGTGATTACCGTGGCTTTAAGACGCTTAAAACCAGCATTCTTCCTAGTGTGATCCCTAGACTCCAAAAAGGAGGAGGTATGCTGGGGGTGAGGGGCACTGACAAGAACCAAAATAAAAATCATAAATAATGTAGTATAGCTGAGATCAGTGGTGGAAATTGTTTGTAAATGGATAAAGTTGAATTTAACACACGGATTTCACTCCTTTCCTTTGCTGCTTATATTATCTACATCGCCTTGGTGAAGTGTGTAAAAGGCAAAGAAGTCTTTCCTACTTTTGGAAATGAGTGTGTGTTCTTTGGACCACTCTGTATGTCTAAGAAGTCTGAGGCATTTTGAATGAGGAAACAGCAAAACTTTTTTTGCGGGGAGTTTGGCACTGTCAATGTCAGCCAATGACATAAAGCACCATTTGCTTGACAGCTGCATCACCAAAAACAGACCGGTCATCCAGGTGCCAAGAGTGCTTGTTCATAGTCGTCGACGTAACAGCAAGTGGAGAATTTGGGGGTGAATCTCAGTACCAAGAACGCAAAGATCATACTTGTGGTTTGGCAGGACCAGTCTGGCTAACTTGCCTCCCAAGAACGAACTAGGGCTGCAGTGAATCATAGGATTGGTCTAGTTTGTCGAGGATTAAACCGATGTATCCTAGATATTTGAGGCGGAGCATGATGAAATATCCAGGAATTTTTACCCACTTCTGTACTTCTGTTCTTGTGTATTGGAACTGGTCTTTGGCAATGAAAGATGACATAAAAATGGTACAGGAGAACCCAAGTATGATCAAATACACATACTGAGGAACACCCAGTGGAAGCTTTTTAATCAGTGGTGTAGCCAGAAATGAAGTAGCAGTTGGACCAGAATAAAATTTGGTGGCCCACACAATCCAGTATAGCTCAGTAGCACTTACAGTGCAGTACAGAGGAGAAAGTGTTCTGCTATATGTTGCCCTGCTGTGTCGTCATACTGACAACCCTCAACAGCCATAACAATCAAACCAATCCCCTATGTTCAGTTACTACTAGACAATATATTCAGAATCTGAACAAGCACCCATAGCAGATCTAGGGGCAATGAAAACAGCTTCGCACACAGCGACCGCGTAAAGTATCAAGCAGCAAACCCAAGGGATGTTATACAATAAATCTACACTGCGTAGTCCAAAGGCACTGTAAAGTTCCGAAATCAAACTGCAACATGGCAAAGTATTATTAAAGTTCTTTAGCAAACTTATTGATCTTCAGTGGCAGCCTCTTTCGACTACCTCACACCTCTCTGCACTTCAATAGTCTGTTTTTCCAAACACACCACAACAATGAAACAGGAGCACCCCCTTGTAGACAAAACACTATCAAATTACAACATAAGAAACATCACATGCATTATAAGCCTTAAATATTACACACATACCTCAACAACATTCGCAACCAACTTTGCTATCCCCTGATGTCTTTCTGGAGTCATATTAATCCAAAATTTAAAAAATAATATTTGCTAACGTTTGTAGCATTTGTAGCATCTGGCCACTTTTGTGTGTCGCTTTCCCACCATACGACTGGGACTGTGACCTTTAAGCTAAATAAGTGTGGGAGATGTGAAACGCTCAGGTTAAACTCTGCACATAATTTCATATGAAACTACACCGCCACTCCCAAAAACAGTGGGTGAACTAGTCATTCTGTTAGTTATTTGGTAGTTATTGGGAGAACGATGTTTATAATTTATTATAAAATTTTTGCCAGTATATCGATCTTTTCGATGTACTGTAAAGTAATTCCAATATTAAACGCTAGCAAGTTTCAAGCTTTAGGCAAAAATATATATCTGTTATCGACCAAATGTTTCTGATGCAGGCATATAGAGAGACGAGCAGAAACCGGTTCATTAATGCATTAAATGTAATTGAGGTAGAAAAAATATTCCATTTGCTCAGCTTTTGCTCCACTACTTTCAGCTCTTTTCCATAAACACGTCTGCGCCGGGGCTTGTGGTCAACCAATCAGCAAAGTTATCACTGTAAGCATAAGAACTGAGTCTGGAGCAGGTAATGGAAAAGGGTTCCGGCACTGCCTCCAAGGAACTACAATCTGACAGCGTTCCTGCAGTGGGAACGTAACAAAAAGTTCCATTTCCTGATTAAGGTATCTGTGGTAGAAAGGCACCTAATAATAGCATATTTATTACAAAAAACAGCTATTTGTTTGGGTGGGGCTATTCAAAAAGTGGGTGAGCCTAGGTATGCAATATGCCTGTCAATCTTGTCTCTCTGTTTTTGCATAGATATACAATGTAGTCACTTTTAACATCAATGATGGTTATATACTTGGAATATCAGGTGCTAATGTTTTAGCACCGGATGTCTTATGTGTAATTATCTATCAAATCTTTTTTTTTTTTTTATAAACCAGCTTCTATTTAAGGTTTCTTATAATTCAAAGTATGATGTGGTTCCTAACCATGTTTGATCCAGAAGCATTTCATCTTATGGACTTTTTAAAATCCATCCATCCATTCCCCCCCCCCCCACCTTGTCTGAGGTCACAGCGTTGAAAGCACGATCTAGGAGACATCTTGGATGGGGTGCTGGTGCATCACATGACACACATTTGTGTCCACAATCAACTTAAATGCTTTGATTGCAAAAGCTTGATTTTTATATTGTGTGTGTGTGTGTGTGTGTGTGTGTGTGTGTGTGTATGTATGTATATATATAAATAAATAAAATATGTGCGTGCGTGTTTGTAAAATATATATTGTTTAATATGTTGCTTTCCAAGGCTAAGGCCAGTACATTCCCTCATAACTGTAGCTATTGATGCAGACATCAGAGGGCGCTCTACTCAAAGACATATTTGCTGTTTAGCATAAGGTCAAGAAAATCTCAAGATGATAATCCGTTTTATGTTCCTTGTTTACAGATACGAGGATTTTTGTCGCGATTTGACAACGTGCTTCCAGCCAGTCTGGCTTTTGACAAGTGCACTGCCTGTTCGCCAGTCGTAAGTTATACCCAAACTGCCGACATTTAGAAAACTTTTAGGAAATATCTCGTATCGTTTCATGTTGCTCCCTTGGATTTTCAATAAAGTGCCTCAATGATTATCAATCATGCCTATCCAAATACCCAATTTGGATTACAAATTTCCTACAGGTTATTTAAAAGTAAATATACAGAAACATGTTCTTCTTCGGAAAGACATTTACAGTATGAAGAATACAAACCTTGCCCCCTCCAACAGAAAACGAGGGGGTTGGAGTGTGTATTTTACTATGAGACCATATGGTCTCAATAATGCTCTGGTTGGTTGTTGATGTCATTGTCAACATGCAAGTAATTAACCCCCACATTTAAGTGACCCCTACCCCCCCCCATATGATGGGGGTGCTTTAGTGTTGAAAGGGCCATATCTCACTCATCAAGGGGAGCAGTTCAGACTCTTCGGTTTTGGCTATGGCTCCGCTTTGAGCTTTTATTGCTATCTGTTGGAAGCCAGCGTAGCGGAACAGCCCTGTTTCCCTGCGTAAATATGGGCTGCTCTGCGCGGGCCTTACTGGTGTAAACATAATGTAATATGCCAGGGGGTGGACCAGCCAGCGGCCTGCTCACCTCCCCCCATCCCAGCCCCGGGTGTTCACTCACACATAAAAACGAAATAACTCTTCAGATCCTGTAATTTCATATAAAACAAGTTCAGTCAGCAAGGTCTTAGCGTTTAAAGTTTGATCATAAGATCTCCCCCCCCCCCCCCACACTTCATAAAAATAAGCTCTCCGTATACTGCCGTAGACCAATATTGCTAAAACCATCTGCAGGCAGATTGTGGTTCAGTAAGTGAAGATTGTTCCCTTAAAATTCATTGTGGTTAAACTTGATTTTTTATTTCTTAAAATAAGAAGGGTTTGCTTTAATTGCAAAATCCACTTAAATCTATCAGAATATTCATTTTGTATTCTTAAAATGGCTAGTATTTCAGAAATAAGCTTCCTCGGCCCGTCAACAATGGGAGATGTGGGTTACCATGGAAACCAAACAGTTCATCCCATGGCCGAATAGAGTCTGTGTGGTTTTTTTTTTCTTTCCTTTTTTGTCCGTTTTGTTTTCTTTTGGCACATAAAAATGGCTTCCTAGTACAACTGCATTTCTTTAGAATAAGTTATGGTGGGAGGGACGTGACACTTTCAAAAACGCCCCTGTGACAGGAGTGGTTCATAGTGACCGGTTTCCCTCCGGGTCCGCTCTCCGGTACAGTGTTCGGAATTGCAAACAGTCTGCCGTCGTACCCGCGGCAGCTTCAAAGCGTCTACTTAAGCGCCGTGAAATGATCTCCTGCCAAGAAAAATAAAAAACTAAAAAAGCCCACCTAGTTCCTCTAAACAATTAGCGAGAGATGGTTATGAGGAGTGGAGGGACGGGGGCCCATCGTGCCGCACGGGGCTTATATAAACCAGATGTGAACACTCCCACACTCCACCCTACCCCCGTGTCACGCCGTTTCTGGGGTTTATGGGCTGCATCAGTCAAAGCTTGGGATCATGGGATATGAGTCTGGAAAACATAATGAAATCTTGTAAAGGTTCCACTGCTTCTGTTTCCATGTTGCTAGGCAACGGTTAGTTTATGGCGCCTACCTCAGGACTGCCTTATGAATGCAGCTAAGCGACGTGGGACGTCTTCTCTGGGGTAGATGTATTGGATCCAGAATTTACTCAATGAAACATGTCAGTGTTGTGAAGCCACAGTTTGTTGTTGTTTTGTTTGAACCTGCTGCCGTTCCCTCCTGCGGGGTACACGGTGGTGTCCGTCATAGGGTTGGTCAGAAATTGCACACCAAACAGGTATGTACCTGTCCAACCGCCATTTTCTTTTGGAGGGTGTCTGTGATGAGATTTTGACACTGAAAATGTCCTCAGTGGGACACCATGTTCTGTCGTCTTAAAAGAAACCTGTTTTTTGAGTGATGATGGGTTTCTACTGATAGGTTCAACATCTGATGTGCAGCTGATGATGGTGATCATGGACTTTAGCGAACCAAAAAACTATAGTAATTAGTAATTAGTCCCCCCCGACCACAGGTACTGGATCACTATGAGCGAGAAGGCTTTGCGTTCCTGTCCAAGGTCTTCAACTCTTCGCATTCCTTCCTTGAGGACCTGACAGGGTTGACCCTGCTGCACCAGGAGACGCAGGCGGCAGAGGTAAGATTTCACCTGGATTGGCACCTAGTGGCACAGTTACAAGATTCTATAAATAGTGTATAACCATTTGGAATGCAGGTTCTGGCATGTTAGTTTGTATGGAATAATTTGACTGAATAATTAAGGTGATGATAAGATGGTAGGATGTTATTTTTCTTTCTGTGAATCTAGACTGACTAGTAGACTGACCTTGACTGCTATGGGAATAATGGGTTTGGGGAGACACCCAGATGTTGCTGAGCTGAGTACCCACTCCTGCCAAGAGGGGTCAGTCATTCCCGGCAGAATGTTTATTTATAGACTCTACCAGTTTTGGACGGTCTGTTTCAGTCTTCACCAGGACCTTAAATCAGAAAATGGCTGACAGATGTTTGGACTGGCGACATTTTAAATTCGTTTACATGTAGCCATTGATCTTTGTAATAAATGACCCGTTGAACTGGAAAACGTAATCATTCATTTGTAGCGTTATATTACGAGCCATCCAGAGACTATAAGCACAGTGTAAGAGATGTTGAACTTGAGTAAGAAAACCTTGCCCATAGTTACGTTCACATTAAACCGGCCTATTGTCAACATTTCATTTCTTGAAAAATCGCTCTTAGGACCAAATGGAAATCAATTTCTTTTTTCTATTACTTTCTTGGCTCACAAGACTCACATCTGGGTTTCATTTTTAAAACTTTGGAACATTTGAATGTTTTCTGACAACAGTCAGAGGTTGGTATACAGCTTTATTGAAGCTCTCACATGACAGATGTGACCTGGGAGAGGTTTTTTGGAACTGTGGGAAAATCCCAAGTCAGCACTCTTGTCTCTGTGCCGGTACCGGCACCAGCGGAAGGTTCTAGTCATCCAGGTAAGAGTGACCAGTGTGCAAATCAGCTTGTGTTCGGACTTGTACGGAGGTGTCAAATTGAGCTATTGGGGATAAATGATTGACATGATTAAATACAGGTTATTGCTTCAAGATTGTGACCCAGTCTGCATAGTGCCTCTTGCTGTAAGTGATGATGATGATGATGACGACGACGACGACCGTGATGATGGAGTACTACTCTGAAAAGGTCTTTCTTGCAGAGTACAATGCAACAGGGCCATCTTGTGACAGTGACGCAGCCTGGTGACTTTGGAGGTTTAATGCCAGATAGAGTAGAGAGGTCTTGTGACAGCCAGTTTCAGGACTCCACATTTACTGGCAATTGGGTGATGGTCGCAGGCGGACCCGCATTGGAAATGATCTCCCATCCCAGTCAGCCCCCAGGCGGGCCCCTCATCTACAGGCCGTGTGGCCTTTCTGTCCGCATAAACACATCCTTCTTTTTAACGCGCTATTTGCTTAACAGCATGACTCACTCACTATGTGGAGTTGAACTCCCCCTATCCCTGCAGTGCCCCCCCCCCCCCAAGGAGCACCAACCCATCATGCAGCTCAGTTGAAATGTTCCCCCTCAGTGAGTTGACATCTAAGACTTAAAGTACTAAAACATCTTTATATTTGTACTGCTTTTCAATTCATTCTGACCAGGTACTTTAATGGGATCCTTTTCTCGTTTGTGTCCTTCCTTGAAATTTTGTCTCTTTTCTGGCACATGTCTCTCTCTCTCTTTCGCTCTCTCTCTTATTCTCTCTTGCATCTCCATCTGCAGTTGGGTAACCGATTCCCCTATCTTTTGGGCGGGACGTGGGTGAATAGCCAACAAAGATTTTTTGACCCCCGGACACAAAGGCTCTCTTGTTAATGTAGGGACCCGTGCTGGATTCTCTCCGCTCATGTCGGGGGCCCGTCCCTATCGTTAATAAAACCCCTGTTGTCTGGCCTCGATGGGCAGGAATGCTCTAATGTCGCGTTCCGTCACTCTGCTCGTGATGGGTCCCGTCAAGTGCTCCCTTCTTCGAGCTGTATGTGACAGGTCGGCAAATAAGATGCGTGCCCTGCAGCCCCCTTTCCCCTCCCCCCACCTACCCACCTACCTTCCTCAGGAGGAAGAGGAGAGACGAATACATTAGCATGGAATATAGTCTCAGGTTTGTGTCAATTTCTACTCATCCTGTGAAATATGTGTTGCTGGGGCATGTAAATGTTTGTCTATGTAAATGGTACCTAACAGGACATCCCAGTGTGTATACATCAATTCACCTCGTTTATTGTGTGTTTTTAGTTATATCCTGTAACTTCTAGTGGGGGGCAGCAAGAGTAAAGTACCACACCTAAAATTAAAAGTCTTGTTGCTTTGCAGGAACCTTTGAGACTCTCTCGTTTCAATAGACTTTAGGCTTTATGTGTAACATACAGGCCCTTGGTTCATGATACTATTCTATATTTGGGCGTTTTTACCAGCGAAGCTTCCTAGTACCCCTCTGGGCTGGGTTCTTCTGGAATCTTGCCTGGAGTTGGACCAGCTTCTGGGCTCTTCTCCAGCAAACTTGGGAAAGAGGCTGGTTAGACTCAAACGGACCCAAACCGTGCCTCTGCCTTCCCCAGCTGTACCATCAGAGCATGAAGTAGAAACGGGTCTGGTGCGTGAGGCACCGTGAGGCAGAGCAACCCCTCCAGACCTCAGTCTAAGCCTTTGTGGGTTTGTGGATTGGGCTGTATGCACTTCGGCCTAAAAGCGCTCCTGAAAAGTTCAGAAGCAGATTGTTATGAGTGGTTGCCTACACAGAGTACAGGAAATAGCAGAAGTTTCAGCCCACAGATAAATCTGTGTCCAGATTGCAGGTTGGTGTGTTTGCCTTTTCCTCAGGACATCGTCAGCCAGGCAGTATATAACCTCTGGGGTCCTAATTTGAGCTGTCCCTTATTGCCTGTGACACACGCCTCTGGCATCTCTGCTGCCTCAAAGTTAGAACGTGTGATGTTCAGAATAGCTCCCTCGTCTGAGCCGGCTCACCAACCTTTAGGATGATGCCCCCTCGTGTGTGCGTGGGTCCGGTGTTTTTTATTATTATTATTATTATTATTCACTTATGCAGTTTTCATAAAAAATTAATTATATTTTAGGTCTGACTTTGTTTCGTTTAATTGACTAGGACATGAAGGCTGTCCTTACCCCCCCCCCCAGACAATATCAAGGCCTGAATAATACATGGAGAGGTAAAGTGACCCTGCAAGCCAGAGGAGGTGCAGCCAGGCCGTGCCTTCGGGGCTGCGGGTGGAGATCTCACAGGGCCTTTCTTGCCTTTCTGCCGCCGTCAGGGGTCTATACACAGCAGCCCTCCATGGCGCCATAAAAGATTTATCCCCATAGTCGTCCGCAGCGGGACGGTACACGTTTCGGTTTTAGGTTTCAGCTCAGGACTATTATGTATCCGCATGCACTTGCGCCCAGGGTTTCGAGGGAGCTTTTATTCATCCTCGCACCGCAGGGGCGCCTCCGCATGTCCCGCCCATGACCCGCTGCGTATAAAAGATCGGCAATTAATAAATAAGGAAGGGATGCGGAGTGTGACGTGTGAGGTGGAGCCGGGGTGGCGGCAGGGGCCCCATGCGCGTTTGTGGCGGCCCTTCACGATGGCGCGGCTCACGGCTGAAGCCCCGAGGGCGGGTGCCCCATGGCGTGGCTGCTCTGTTTGTGTGTCTCCGGTGTCTGTTTGCCCAGCACACAGAAACGGGCCGATGGCATCGTTCCCAGGTTTTTGTGTGCTGTGCTCTGCCAATGATGATTTTAAAATCTTTTTTTGCTAGGTTAACTGCTGTGGACTAACGTGATAATTCAGAGACTTGGAAAGACTGTGATGCCAGATGCCTGCACACCAGAAAATGCTGGCTACTGAAGCTGCTGTCTGTGTCTTAGTTAGTCGACACCATTATCCAAAGTCATGTACATTCTTTTCTTTTGTTTTTTTTTTGAGAATGCAGTTAGCAATTAGTTAAGGGTCTTTCTCAGAGGCCCTTCAGTGACCTAGGGATTTGAACCAATCAGAAGCACAGCTTCCTAAACCACCAAGCCACATAACCCCGCAAGTCACCAGAGTGATTTTATTCATTATTAATTTATTGCACCACCACTTGATATTAAGGGTAGAACCACATAAACGCAGACTCATTGATTGAACCTTTTTGGTAAATGTATTGTGATTTAAGAGTAATACTGGGACTACTCGTGATGAAGTGCTGTCTAAGTATTATGGCCCTATCGTCGCGTTTGTTTTGTTATCCAAGCAACTTGGCAAGTTATAACAAACTCGGAAACGTGCATGGGCTGTGCTCCGCATTGTCCCAACCGCAGGTAAGTTTCCCCCTAGGATTTGAGGGCCCTGCGGCAGTTTGATTCAGCCAGAAGACTGTCGAAGTTAAGTACACGGTGTGGTAACAGGCTCGATTAGTATGGTGCTGGAGGAGTGAGACACAGGGACAGATGTGTCCACTGTTTGAGTCAGGCCGATTTCGTAACTCCAGGGTGCTGTTCGCTCTGAGTCACTCTCCGCTCCCAGTAGTTAGTTGCCGCAAAGTATGGCTTCTTTTTTTTTTTTTTTTTAATTGACCCAAAACTCCATGGGATCGACGTGTCAGTGCAGCCAGCCTGTCTTTAGGACCTAGGCCTGTGAATTATAGCCTCCACGATAAAGGTTGACAGTCCCCATTACTCTGTTTTCTGTGGATTCCCCTTCGTAAAAGTTTTTAAATTGCTATTTGTTGGCTTGTTTCACTTATTTCGTAATCATAATTCTTTTTTTCTTTTTTTTTTTTCTTTTTTTTGCCTGGAGCAGCTTGTTAAGGGGGGGGGTGGTTGGTGTGGCTGGTTCGCAGCCGCCTGCTCAGCCAAAGCAGCCAGACCCTGAATCATAACACGGAGTTGGGGGGTAGTGGGCAAGTTTCTACCGGCAGGCGGCTTTTGAAGGCTTCTTTGTGCTTTATTCTTAAACAGCTGTCTCTTTAGTCTCATTCTATGCACCTGACTGGGAACTCCGCCGGTCCTGGCCCTTCTGGATGAATCTATCTCCAAACTGATTATCCACTCCAGGGTTGGGGGGGGGGGACTGGAGCTGATCCCAGC